GCAATATTATCGCTTATCGCAATAAAATTTGAGACAATTAATCGCCCAGCAAAATTTGTTATCGTGACAGGCCTAAGTTAACCCTAACCTGAACCAGAAGTTAACTCACATCATACCTCTAAACCTAACTAGTAAAGCACAGCAGAGCTGAAAACAAAGTGAGGACATTGAAGAGGTCCTCACTCTGTAGTAAAAACAAGCACACACACACACTCTGAAAACTCTCCCCAGCACGGCTGTGATCCTGTTTCCCTCCTCTGGTAGGTGGCACGGGACGAGGAGCACAAGTCTGTGAAGTCGAAGGAGGTGAAGGACGAGGAGGTGGTCCGGATACCCATCGCCTTCGCCATGGTCAAACTAATGCAGACCCTGCCGCCGCACATCATGGAGGCCAACCTCCCCGGGTACGCGGCCCCTCGTCCGGGTTTTTAAACGAAAGCATCGTTCAGTAGAAACGTAATTAACAAGATGCGCCTCCTTCTCACCCAGGATCCTGATCAAAGTCTGYGTTCTGCTGAGGAACCGCTTCCAGGAGATCCGCGACGTGGCGAGAGGAACTCTGGTGAAGATCATCCAGACTCTGGGCTGCAGGTATCTGCAGTATCTGCTCAAAGAGATGCAGGGGGTTCTGGTCAAAGGATACCAGGTGGGTGCACCAAACAAACAAATAAATAAATAAATAAACAACCAAAACACTAAAAAAGAGAATATGAATTAAAACGTTTGCATCCAGGTCCACGTGTTGACCTTCACAGTGTTCCAGCTGCTGTCAGCACTCAGCCCCACCCTGAGCAGTGGAGACTTGGACCCCTGCATGAACATGCTCATCGATGTAAGAACCTTTCAACCCTCAAACAAACACTAATAAATAATTACTCATTTTAGCTTCTTTTCTGCTGTTTTGAATCAGAACAGTTCAGGTAAAAAGTTGTTCAACAAATTTAATTGAAATCATTCTTGGTTAGTGCAGAAAGCCCCCCACAGTCTAACTGTCTCGGTTTGATCAGATCTTCAACAACGAGCTGTTCGGGGCAGTGGCTGAGGAAAAGGAGGTGAAGGGCATCGTTTCCAAGCTGATGGAGGCGCGGCACAGCAAGAGCATGGACTCGTAYGAGCTGCTGGCCCGCTTCTGCAGCAAAGAGAGCGTCACCAAGCTCATCCTGCCGCTGAAGGAGGTGGTGTTAGAGCTGCACCATAACACAACACTTTGGTGTTCCGGGTTATAAACGTTTGTTTGTTTTCTGCCTTCAGATCCTGGAGAGCGCATGCAAGCTGAAGGTGTGTAACCGGGTGACGGCGGTGCTGCGAAGGCTGATCCTGGGTCTGCTCGACAACAGCGGCATGACGTCACGCGACATCCTGCTGCTGTGCCACGGCCTGGTGAGCGAGAGCCTGCCTCTGCTCTCCAAGAGCAGCCGGTAAGGAAGCTTTAGCTTCGTCTCGCTAAAACTGACCTCTGGGCTCAAGCTCCAGGACACAGACTAACCCTCGTTTATTTATCTGCTGATGTTTTCATGTTGTGCCTGCTTGGTTTTTKTGTGTGTGTGTGTGTGTGTGTTTATACAAACTGCATTCATGTAGCTAGTGTATCAATGGTTAGAAAATGATATCGAAGCAGTAGCTCAAAGCTATATTTGTCAAAGGCCAGGTAAAGGTAGCTAAATGTGCTGTCACACTATAATGTTTTAGACAGCTTATGAAATTTATTTTGTCTAAATTACTAATAAAAGCTATATATTTGATTTTTTTAGCATTGCWGCATGTGCAGGCTTCAGAGGCTTCCAGCTGAATTTGTTTAATTCCATCTTCAACGTAGATATATTTTACAGTAGGCATAAGTTGTTTAAAATGTTATAGTGTGACAGGGCCTTTAATACTCGCTAAATGTAATGTAATTGAAATTTGAACTTTATTTTTGATTGATTTTATCTGAGAAAAAAGGGGCAAATATAAGATTTTCTCTTCTTCTGCTACCTTTCATTTATGATTTGTATTTTAATTAAATTGAATTTATGTTGTTTTTAATTAAATGAATGAATAAA